GCCCTTCTGTGTTACCTACCTGCCCTTCTCTGTTACATTACCTGCCCTTCTGTGTTACCTACCTGCCCTTCTGTGTTACCTTACCTGCCCTTCTCTGTTACCTACCTGCCCTTCTGTGTTACCTTACCTGCCATTCTGTGTTACCTTACCTGCCCTTCTCTGTTACCTACCTGCCCTTCTGTGTTACCTTACCTGCCCTTCTGTTACCTTACCTGCCTTCTCTGTTACCTTACCTGCCCTTCTCTGTTACCTTACCTGCCCTTCTGTGTTACCTTACCTGCCCTTCTCTGTTACCTACCTGCCCTTCTGTGTTACCTTACCTGCCATTCTCTGTTACCTTACCTGCCCTTCTCTGTTACCTACCTGCCCTTCTCTGTTCCCTTACCCTGCCCCTTTCTGTCCACAACCTGCCCCTTTCTTCCCGTTTCTGAACAATCACATTTGTTAATCTAACCACATTTTAAGTGATGAAGTTGTCACAAGTCAACTGAAGCTGAGAAGTGAGGAGGTTTATGTCCACTAATGTGTCCTTGGCTTCGTGTTGGTCACTTATCTCATACCGTTTCCTGCTATTGAAGCTATTTTCTTCGATTCTTTTCATGTAATACTTTTGAAGCATTTCTTTTGCAAGATGTTCTTGCTTACTTCGAGTACTCTTATCATGTCTCGCTTGATGCAGGACGGCGTTCAATCTCCGAACGTCCAAGTGGGTTGGGGCACCATTCCTTCCCTCTCCGTCTCATCCCAAATCCTTATCCTGACCCCTTCCAAGTGCTGTATAGCCGTAATGGCTTGGCGCTTTCCCGGCACTTTGCTTCCTTCCATCAAGTCTCACACTTGAGTATTTCTCAAGACGTCTTAGCCGTGTTTTCATTTTGTTTTACTTTGAATCATCACCGTGAATTCTCTAGCAGTGCTACGTGCAACTGTAAGCAACTCTTGCTGTACAGTTGACCAGACCACACACTAGAAATTGAAGGGACGACGACGTTTCGGTCCGTCCTGGACCATTCTCAAGTGAATCGACTTGAGAATGGTCCAGGACGGACCGAAACGTCGTCGTCCCTTCAATTTCTAGTGTGTGGTCTGGTCAACATACTTCAGCCACGTTATTGTGACTCATCATCTTGCTGTACAGTTTTTGGAAGGGACGTAACGATTGCTTTTTCAAAACAATGGATTCAAACTACTGGAGCCGGAAACTACTACAAACAAACGGGAGCCGGTCGGCCGAGCGGACAGCACGCTGGACTTGTGATCCTGTGGTCCTGGGGTCGATCCCAGGCGCTGGCGAGAAACAATGGGCAGAGTTTCTTTCACCCTATGCCCCTGTTACCTAGCAGCAAAAATAGGTACCTGGGTGTTAGTCAGCTGTCACGGGCTGCTTCCTGGGGGTGGAGGCCTGGTGGAGGACCGGGCCGCGGGGACACTAAAAAGCCCCGGAATCATCTCAAGATAACCTCAAGAAGATACTGTAAGTCAGTCCCAAGTTGCACTTAAGCGTTTTTCATTGTTAATACTATGTAACTTAATTGTGACACTCATAAACCTATCATGTATCATGAATATGTATCTGTATCGTATCTAAGCAATTTCTGTCCCCCCTAAATAGCATTAGGGATGCTACATCATGCGTAGGATATACATACGCATGTCTTTGTATACAGACATGCATATCCCAGAGATATACGCAAGTACCAGTTATATTAGGTGTATATTTTGTGGCTGTATTGATAACGTGTGACACACGTGGTCAGTAACGGGTGAGTGTACCAGATGGGTCTGTGGATAATAATATCAAATTGTATGTGTTTGTGAGTGTGTACAGTTGTAAACAAACGTAAAAAATGCGAATGAATGAGGACCTGTTTGTTTCCGTCCACAGAGGAATGAATGCATGTTTACTCATTATTTTCTGGTCCGTAATGTTTGGTTTAACAACCATGTTGCTGTGGGTGCATTATACGAGAGAGAGAAACCTTGAGATTTTGTTTTAGTGTCCTGTTATGCCGACGATATATATATATATATATATATATATATATATATATATATATATATATATATATATATATATATATATATATATATATATATATATATATATTATATATATATATATATATATATATATATATATATATATATATATATATATATATATATATATATATATATATATATATATATATATATATATATGACAATGTCAGACCACGGAGGAAAATGAAACAGGAATTTCCTTAAGTACTTTCGTATATTAAATACACCTTCAGAAGGAAGATGTATCATTCCTTCTGAAGATGTATTTAATATACGAAAGTACTTAAGGAAATTCCTGTTTCATTTTCCTCCGTGGTCTGAATTTGTGGACTTACTGCGGGGCGCACGGGCCACAGGGATAAGAGCCTCGTTGGACGTAGAATCGCTGTTTACCAACGTACCTGTGGACGAGACAATCGGAATGATAGCCGACAGAGTGTATCGTGATCCAGCCTGTACTCCTCTTGACATGCCAGAAAGTATTCTGAGGAAACTACTCCAAGCTTGTACTAAAGAGGCACCCTTCTTGAGCCCGATGGGCATATGTATAAGCAAGTAGATGGGGTCGCTATGGGTTTCTCCCTAGGTGTCCTGTTTGCAAACTTCTACATGGGTACCATCGAGCAAAAAGTCTTAGTCGACATGAACTTGAAACCGGCCATATACTGCAGGTATGTTGACGACATTTTTACACAGGTACCTGATGTCAGACATCTGCAGGAGCTGAAGGAGGCATTTGAGCAGAGTTCCGTGCTGCGTTTCACTTACGAGACGGAAAAGGATGGGAAGCTGCCTTTTCTAGATGTAACAGTCATGGAAAAGGGCGGAGGTTTCCACACTGCAGTCTACACAAAGGAAACAAACATAGGAATGTGCCTAAATGCCAACAGCGACTGCCCTGACAGGTACAAGAGGAGTGTTGTTAACGCATACGTCGACCGTGCTCTCAGCCACAGCTCAGAATGGAAGCAAGTCGACGAAGAACTCTGTAGGGTAAGGCAGGTTCTAGTCAATAACGGCTTCTCCAATGGTTTCATCGAAGACATCATAAGAAGGAAAGTGAAAAGCCATGCAACCTCCGAAGAGACAACTAACACAACACCATTGTCACATTCTTAATCACGTGTTTATTTTCGTGATATACACACACATATATATATATATATATATATATATATATATATATATATATATATATATATATATATATATATATATATATATATATATATATTTAAATATGTAATCGATAAAAATATTTTGGCAACATAATAATACGAATAATGCTTGGAAAATTACAATATAAAAATTCTTTGGGATTGATTAGGAAAAAAAATGTATCGAGGTAGCAAAAATGTTTTCTCTAATTCTTATAAATTTTCTAAAATTGAAAAAAAAATCGTTTGCAAAGCGTTGCATCATTTACGTGGATGTGAGAACCCAAACAAGGGTATAATATCAACATATGTACAATACAGTAGTTCAATCTGGGTCTTATATATATATATCAAAATACTTTATAAAAAAAACAGGTCTGTATTCCAGCTCATCCCTCGTGCTTAGATGGGACTTATATTAACGATGTGGCTCATCGTATATAATTACATATATTGACGTAATGGTGAATCAGGACGTAAAAGTTGGTACTATTGAGTTTGGACAAACTGGTAAAGGTTTTGTATTTATGTTTCTAATAAAACCAAATTTAACCTAACCACCCTAGGTCCTAATACACACTATCTGAGGCCTAATATAGTGCATGTATGGGCTTGGAATAGCTTTTTGTTTTTAACTTTATTAGGATTTTTTTAAACTTTAATTTTATTCTATAAAGTGAATTCTACTTTAATTGTCCATCACGTCAATATGTGTACGATGGCCCACATCGTTACTAAATATACATGAGGATGGGTTGAAATATGTACAATTAATTCAGATTAATTGCAATACACATAGTGCATATTATGAACACAACCTTTTGACAACATCTTGCCATAAATATAAATGTCCAAATTGCAACTCTAAACTGGGCAGGTAGTGTGCAAGCCTGGCATCAGAGGCTGCAGAGATTAGGGCTGGTGCACATCTTCCGAAAATTTCTTTCCACTAAAAGTCTCTAAGCCTGGGATCTCGGGGTCTGCACAGGCCCCAGAAAGCAAAGGCAGGTTCGTGTGTGGCATTCGAGAGAAATTCAGTAGGAGCAGAAATAAACTAGTAGCCAAAAATAATAAGTTTTTTCTTTAAAAGGGAAGTTTGATATACTAGATTTGAGAACATTTAAAATGTAAACGATAAAGAGAGAGAGAAAGAGAGAGAGAGAGAGAGAGAGAGAGAGAGAGAGAGAGAGAGAGAGAGAGAGAGAGAGAGAGAGAGAGAGAGAGAGAGAGAGAGAGAGAGAGAGAGAGAGAGAGAGATTAGCCAAACATGTAATACATTAAACGAAAACCTCGACACATTCTCGTTGTAATGAAAGATTTGGGTGAAGGTGGGAGAGAGAGAGTAACTCCTCCTGCAGGAGTTGTGAGAGACAGCACCTCAG